GGACATCATGCTTGGGAGGGTAGAGGGACGGCGCAGGAGAGGAAGGCCCTCTATGAGGTGGATTGATTCAGTGACTGGGATAATTGGGATGGGAGTATCAGAGACAGTGTGATTGGCACAGGACAGACCGGAGTTTAGGGCTGTTGTACATAGGGTCACTATGAGTCGCAGGCGACTCGACGGCACATAACAACAACAACAACTCCTACTCTTTTCTTTCTGAGCCATAGCTAGTTAGAATGTAAGGCATCCCAAGAAGATGTACATAAGCGTTCCTGAAAAGCAAGGACTGATGTTTCCAGGTTGTTAGCTGGTGACCTCTGGAAGTCTGGTATGGTAAGGTAGAGGAAGCTCTAGCTCAGAAACCATGTTTCAATCCTGGAATCCTGGCTCTGACACTAACTTATGTAATCTTTTAAAAAAATCCCTTTCTCTCTCTAAGTCTCTATTTACTGATTTCTCAGGAGGCTGAGGTGGTCTCAGATTCCTCCCCCAGCTCTAATGCTTAAATAGTTCAATGCAGCACATAAACTAGCTTTGCTGAGCAAGTCTAATGAATGTTTGCCTTTGAAAGATGCTCTTGCCTTAGTGTTTGACATTTTAAAAAAATATTTGACATTTTTTACACCATCTTTTTATGCCTTTGGTAGTTCTTATGGAAGAGCAATGGTAGCAAGAGAGCCTGAATGGGTGTTGGGAGGTCTGGAATATAATCCCATCTTCGCATTTCGGGGGAATTAGCTCCATCTCTGGCCTACTGATTGAGTGTTCCTTCACACGCCGGCTCATTCTGGAAGACGGTGCAGTAGAAGTTTAACAGTACTGTCTGGAATTGCAGGAACATGGAGAAGGTGATCAACAGCAAAACAAAAAACAAAAAACTACCCCAAACAACCCACCTTGTGTCACTAGATTAAAGATGCTTCAAGTGACACTCAGAACCTTACTAGAAATCCTTCATTAGCTTGCTTTCTTCTGAATTAGGCCCTCTGCTGACTGTTGGGAGACACATAGTTAAAACTCATTTTATTAAACTGAATGTCAAGTGAGTTTTTGTGTCATTTGGGGTCAAACTTAAAAGAAACTGCCAAATTCTAAGACAGTGGAGTTGGAAATGGACTTTGTGTAATGTGGAGTCAAATCTAAAAGTGAATGCTCTATATAATTTGGAGTTAAGACCTAAAAGAAACTAGCAAATTTCAAGAAAATGGACTCAGGAACAGACTGGCACTTTGATTTCTTAGGGGCCTTGAGCTCTTTGCTAATTGCCTGTGACAACTAAAAGTGAAAAATCAGCTTTTTGTTTCACCAATTTTGTCTTACTTTTGTGTTTGACATTTTGTTTCTATAGGTAAATCCCTATATTCTGAAGAAGAATATGATCCTTATGACAGATAGTTTCTATGCGGCAATCTTGGGATATGATGAGGTAAGATCATTTGACAAGCCTCAGGAAGAATCATGGCCTCCTCAATCAAGACTTTTACTCTCTGAGGGAAGCTTCAGGGACATAGTCACTGCCTCCCGTCATGACTTCATATTTATTTCCTCATTATCTTCCCTGACTAGACAGCTAGAATGAATGAACAGTAGTTTGCCTAATGCTTAGGAAAGAAAGCCGAATATATTATAGTCAAATCACTAGCCAGTAGGTGCTAGACGGGGACAGAGGCAAATTAGCCCTGTGCCAGCCCCATTCATTGCCAGAGAGAGGAAGATACCCATGTACACAGCACAGTCTACTGAGCTACATGCTTATTTTGGTAGTTTAATTAGAAAAGCAATGCATACTCATTTTAAAAATTTAAAAATATACACAAAGAATTGAGAGTAGAAATCTACTCCCTTTTGTGAGTGATTCCATAACAGAATAGAAAGACTCCATTAATAGTTTTTTGAGTGTTCTTCTGTACATTATCTGCCCATATGAGTGTACATCTTATTTTCTATATACAAATAGAAATGACTTCATTGTGAGTTTTCTTTTTCTCATGTCCAGTACATATTGAGCATCCTTCCATATCAGAACACTTAAATCTAGCTCATCTTTTTTTTCAACTTTAAATTAGGAAAATTTTCAAACATATAAAAAATTTAAAGAATGGTTTAGTTAATTCCTATATACTCCCTATAAAGCTTATATACCTCATCTTTTAACAAGCCATGATCTTTTATACTCATCTTGTGGTTTTAACACAAGTGCCATGTCTCCTGGGGCACTATCCCACAACTTCCTCAGGCACCACTCATTTGTGCCTGCCCTGGACTCAGCTTCTAGCATCAATGCCACCTTGGCTGGGCTGGAATTTGTTCTGGGTGGCAATGTCTGTTTTGTTTGTATTTCTATTGTCCTGCATAGTGGTTGGCACATAGCAGGTGAAGAAAGAGGACGGGAGAAATTTCATAAAGGAATAAAAGCAAGAAACCAATGTTCACACTGGAGGAAATTTCACTAATCTGTAGATTATAATTTAAACCAAAAGATAGATTTAGGATTCCTCCCACCCCCATCCTGTTCCTGCCAAAAGACTTGCCCAGGGTCACTGAATATTTAACTCCAGTTAAAATCTGCTTCTCCTGATTATCAACCTGTCAGTATCCACAATTCTTAATTATAAGATACCAATTTAGATTGGTTACCACACATACCATTCATTTAGCATAAACTTGTTGGAGTTGGGAGGGACTTGAAAAGCACTGCTTAAATGTACACATCAGTTACTGAACTGGAGAATGAATTCTGGCTTCAGAAATACGATGTGTAAAACAATGAGTCTTAGAATTGAAGAAGCATGTTTCCTATGCGCATTTATGTGGAGGTCTTTACTGAAGGTGTCTTGTTTGACTTAATTGACTCTTCATCACTGTTAATAAAGATGTGAACTTTGTCATTTCTTTCTACTTCCTCATCTTATTCCATCACACCACATCATCTCATCCAAACATACTTGCTCAAAAGAGTCACGTGGGGTGCTTTTTAAAAAAAATTTAAATTTATTATTAATTTCAGTAAAAATGTATAGAGACTTTGGATTTCCATTCATTCATTGTTGCGCTTTTCTCCCCTCCCAAGCCTCTTCCCCGAACCCTTCCCTTTTGGAAAAGTAAAAGAAAAATTCTTTCATTGTTTTACAAACCCTCCCCCAGGTCCACTCCACCATGTAGCCTTCACTGTCATGGCAAAAATGCCTAATCACATATCCCTTTTAAACAGTTTTCTCCCTCATCTGTTTCAATGCAGTATACATTATTGAATCCATCTTTCTCAGTCTTTCTCAGTCTCTCCCCAACCCCAAGGTCAGTCCTGTTTTACAACAGTGGCACCATGCAGTATTTGTCCTTTTGTGACTGAGATACTTCACTCAGCATAATGTCCTCCAGAGTTACCCATTTTGAATAATATTGCATGAGTTCCTTGGTTTTCAATGCAGCATAGTATTCCATTGTGTGAATATACCACAGCTTCTCTATCCCATTCTTTTGTTGATGGACACTTAGGTTGTTTCCAACTCCTTGCTATTGTGAACAAAGCCGCAATAAACATGGGTGTGCATATATCTGCTTGGATGTCAGTTATGTTCTCTTTGGGGTATATTCCCAGCAGTGGAATTGGTGGGTCAAATGGTATCTCCATTTGCAACTTTTTGAGAAAGCGCCATACTGCTTTCCACAGTGGTTGCACCATTTTACACTCCCACCAACAGTGAATAAGGGTTCCAGTTGCTCCACAACCTCGCCAGCATTTGTTGCTTGCTGTTCTGTTAAATTTTTGCTATTCTGACTGGGGTGAGATGTTATCTCATAGTTGTTTTAATTTGCATCTCTCTTAGAGCTAGGGATTTTGAACATTTCTTCATATGTTTGTTAGACATCTGAATGTCATCTTCAGTGAAGTGCCTGTTCAAATCCTGTGCCCATTTTTCTATTGGATTATTTACCTTTATCTTGTGGTGGTGGTGGGATGCTTTTAAAATCTAAATTTTTAACACATTTCAGAAAAATCTCTATCAATAGGAGCAGAGCCTGGTCTTTCAACAAGGGCCCTGGGAGGGCACATAAGAACAGTCAGTTTGAGAAATACGCAGGTATCTCTATCAGGGCCCAGTCCCTCAAAGACTCTGATTGAATTGATACAGTTGAATATCTGTAGTTGTAAATATTCCCCAGGTGATTTTAATGTATAACTCGAGAACATTAAATTTTAATCTACATGCATATCATCTGAAGATCTAGTTAAAATGCTGATTCTGCTTCAGCAAATCTGCGTGGGGCCTGAGTTTCTGTGGCTATTTTGATTTAAATTAATAATGTAAAATTAAAAAGTCAGTTCCTCATTCCTACCAACCACATTTCAGGTATTCAGTATTCACATGTGGCTAGTGACTGTTGTGTTGGACTGTGCAGACTGAGACCATTTTCATCATCACAGTGTTCTGTTGGCACTGTTATCCCACAGCAACCTTTTCCTAGAATCTTGCTTGGATTGTGCCTCCTTCCAGGACACTTTTGGAATCTTCTTGTTTCTCTGCTACATGAATATTTTTACTAATGCCAGGTTCCTCCATGAAACTTTCAGGCTGGCTGTCTTTGAACTGCTCTCTTTCTTATAGTGATTGGGCCCGTGCACCTTGTCTCCAATTGCACTCTAATGTGTCTCGCCTCCCAGTGGGGGCAGCTATTCCTTCACTGCCCCACAGAAAGGCTGTGCTTGTTGAGGCTCTGTTGGACAATGTGGTGTTGAGGGTGATAGCTGAGTCTTTGTCAACTCTGTACCACTGAGTGTGGCTTCCTTTATAAATGTTTGGTGAAATAATATTTTCTCCACAAAGCTTTCCCTGACCTCTCTAGATCTGAATTTTTGGTTTTGCTTTAAATTTCAGCATCATCCACCCGTTTAACAGGTATTGGTGAATGCACATAGTCGTGTTGAGTTAATCTTTACTGATTGAGACTTTGAACTCTTATCTTTGAACCATAACCAGAGCCATCTTGGGCCAGGACAAGCTCTTTAGCCTCCTGTAACTATTCTAGACCTCAGACTCCTCTCACCTGGGGAGCTAGATGCCTTCATTTCCTGAAGGATGGCTCCTTTGTATCATTGGGGGGCGGGGGAAGATTCTCTATTATTAACATAAAAATTGCTAGGTAAGCTGTGTTTGACTTTTTCCTTTCCTGCTTCTTAGTTGCAGCTGATACTCTCTGACTGTTCTCCCACTTGTTTTCACAAACTTACTAGAATTACGAGGAAAAAAGGCTGAAGGTGGGTTCATGTACTCATCTATTTTTATGACACCCTTGCTCTGTGGCAGGCACTTTACTCTCCACAAAGCTTTCCCTGACCTCCCTACTGCCTTCGGATCCCACTTCAGCCTCAGTTTTCTTGTTTTTTAAAAGGAAATGAACATGTCTGCTTAATGTGGTATTCATAATCATTGTAAGCCAGGTGTGTAAAGGTTGTGATCACGATTAATCTTAAGTCCTGAATGCTCAGTAATTCCTGATTATGGCTTCACCCCTTCCCAGCCATCTGACCTGCCAGCAGAGCTACCAATTTGCAGCCTGCCATGGCTCCTAGTCTTTTACTTTCTTGAGCCTTGCCCTTACTCTCATTCTCCCAACTTCCTGTGCCACCCGCTTTCCCTCCCACCCCTTCCCATGTAGGACATGTGAGTCACTGCCAGCAGCACTCCAGCCTGTGCCCAGGGCACTTCAGATACAGGCAGTCTGTTGTGTTAGCAAATAGCTTGGAGAGTGGTGATGTGCCTGAGCTTGTCCTTGGCCCCTCTTCCCATCTGCCGGAAGAAGCTGGTTTTCCTGACTCAGCCATTGTGCCAGGGCAGTTTCTTAAGCTGAGGAATCATAAGGGTATTTATCAGTGGCATTTGGAACAGGTGGAATGTTTTTCCACCAAACTGTCAACACCTTTTGCTGACCCAGACTCTTCCTGGCAGTGGGCCTGGAGCCAGACTTCATGCACCATGATGCTTCAGAGGCCAGCCCGCATTGTAAAATCACAGAAGTGATCTCAGTTCCTTGTATGATGACTTACTGTTAACAGAGAACTTTCATGTCCATTCTTTGTGAATTCTCACAACTCCTCTCTGGGATCTAGAATTAGGCTAAAAGAGGGGTTAATGGATTTCCAGAGTCCACACACCACAGAATGACAGAGCTGGCACGAATGGCATTTGAACTCAGGTAATCTGACTACAGATCCCACTATTCTTCTAACTACATCCACAGTTGCCTGCTAAAGCATGATCCTAATCTCTCTGTGTGACATGAATATATGAGGAAATTCTCTTATTTTGTTTTCTTTTTGTTAATCCAGGAATGTTGTATATAAGACAAACATTTATATCTCTTAATATGTGAGAAGATTAAGACTCAGGTTTAGCAAATTGTTCACCATCATTGAATTTGGCAGTAGGAGAGCCAGGATGTGGTCCAGCCTTCTACTCCAAATCAGTCCTTTTTTTGGCTCTACAACACTACCTTAGCCACCTGGACAGAGAAGCGTCTCAAGGCCTTTTCCTTCCTTTACCCTCAACCCAGGAAAAGAGAGTCTTTCTCTCTCCTTCCATGAAATAGCTGAACTAGAAAATGGTCCTAGCATGTGACTCCCGGCTTCAGTTAGCTTCTCCTTGATTGTTGGGCTTCCCAACAGAGGTCTCTTCTGTACTAGGAAAAGTGGTGTGGGGCACGCACACACACATACACACAGAGAGACTGTAGGCATTGGCCCCTGTGGGCCGTGGCAATTCTGCTGAACAGCCTGTTCCTCTGCTTACAGGCAGAGAGGCTGGCCTGGTCATGGCTAGTCCAGAGCTGGATGATGGTGAGTCCAATGTACCTGGCTCCTTTCCTCCAAAGAGCCAGCTGCATGGCAACTATGTGCCCTTGGACTAAGGGAGAAGAAGCCTTAAACCATGCCCATCTCAATTATTAGGGGGAAAAAAACAACACAAAAATACTACACAGCAGTAGTTGAACCACTGCGCCTACCATTTCTCCTCTTGGCCAAGCACTGCCTGAACCAGGTGCAGTGTGTGATAGAGGAGAAGGAACCATGGACTGAGAGCACTGAGCAGGCATGAGCCCCAGCTATGCCTTAAGCTCACCAAGTCACTCTCTGTAGAAAATAAAAGTACTGGACTAGATGCTATCTTCCAAACCCTACCAACTCTAATATTTAGCTCCCCCATTTCTATCTCACAGCATCTTTAATGTCCTGAGCTCAGTAGTGGTGTGCTGGCCTATTTACAATGTCCCCAGCTTTTGTATCATGCCTCTGTGAAGTTCTTTTTTTTAATTGTTTATTTAATTGGTTTGAATACAACATTTGTATACATGTGTTTCATTCATGTACATTGTTTTTCACATATTTTTCTTTCACATTTTCATACGAAAATGCTGAGCTTAAGGCTCAACATGTTTAATACAATCATTCCCATAGACCGTGTTTTATGAAATAAATCACCATGGATTTATGCCCATTATCATCCAGTCTTTTTCAGGTCCCAACTAGATCTATCCTAATTCCTTTACTCTCTCCCTCGGTAAGGCTCTTGGAAAAACACATTGTCTTCTTTATTCCAGGGGATCCTTTCAGATGATCATGGGCTGGCTGCTGCTCTGTGGAGAACCTTGTTCAACCAGAAATGTGAAGACCCCCGACACCTTGAGTTGCTGGTGGAATATGTGAGGAAACAGGTGAGCAGCCCCCTTTCTTCATTGCTTCAATGAAGCTGAACTCGGTCCATGGATGCTGGGCTATCAGCAGAGTATGAGAGACTGAGTTATCAGAGGCCGTTCTGAGGGAACTGTGATCCAGTCACAGCACCACCAGACACCTGTGAAGAGTCCCTTCTGTGTGTCCACCAGGAGCTTGGCCCAAAGAGTTGGGGAATGGGAAGAGAAGAGCAAAATGCACCAACTTATCTCTTTACCTTCACTAGACAGTTGATTGCTCCTCATGGGCCCCATGCTGTGCCAGACCCTGCACACTGAGTCCTTTAAGACACAAGCATGGAGAATGGTCACTGTGGAACCCTGCTCTACCCACTTTGAATCTCAGCATTCACACTTCCTGATTTCTAGTAGAGCAAGCTACAAGTAGCATTTCCTAGGTAACTTTCAAGTCTATTCCCATTGGCTCCTGTTCACATCAAGGAGATCCCCCTGCTTCAATACCTTCATCCCAGAGCTCTCTGAATCTAAAGTTCTCCAGAGTGAGAACTGTTTAAGTGCATAATTTTCCCCTCAAGGCCATGGAAAATTAACTTCTTCATCTCCCTGCCCTCAGATTTTGTTTAAAAGGAAGCCCATACTTTATTGATGAATGAATAGAGTGGCAGGGAAGGACAAAGCACCTTTCCCTGGGTCTTCCAGTGAGTCAGTTTGCACAGCTGACCTAGAACACAAACTAATGAGTCATGTAGTCACTTGAGGCCCAGCTGTCTGTATATCTCATCAGCTCAGGCCATCCCATTAGTCACACCAATGCTTCGTAGTCCTGGCCTCTGGAGCTGAAGGAGCCTCATCCGCAGTTACTCTCTTACTTACCTTTGTTCATGACCTTCAAGCTTCTAACAGCCAGGAAGGAGAAGCCAGGCCCCAAGTCTCGAGGAGAAGGAAGATTTGGGTCAATAAGACCTGCTAGAGAAGTCACAACTGGGCGTTTTTGGACCCAGAGAATGGAGAACCCTAGGAGCCATTTTTTTGACCATTCTTCAAGTGGCCAGACGGCCCCATTCTGTAGATTTGAGACTCACATTTTTACTATTCCCACACTCTGACAGGGGAAGCCGTTTACAAAGCAAAAGCTTTGTATCTTGAAAGGCTGACTCAATTTTTCCATCTTCCATGGTGGACTTATACAGAGGCCATGCTAAGAGCAAAAGTGGGAACTCTTGAGGACCCTAACTAAAAGGATTATCACAGCTAATATCCCATTAAAAAGCCCTTTATGGCACTTACTCAGAAAGCTGAACATAGAAATTCCATATGACCCAACTATTCCACTATTTGGAATATACCCTGAGAAAATGAGAACTGAGGCACAAATAGAGATTTGTACACCAATGTTCACAGCAGCATTATTCACCATCACAAGAACATGGAAACAGCCAAAATGTCCAACCACAAAAGAATGGATTGAGAAATTATGGTACATTCACACAGTGGAATGCAGCACGTAGGAGCAATGATTTTATAAAATCCCTAACTTAGGAGGGACTGGAGAGCATTATACTGAGTGAACTGAGTCCCACAAGGATATTTTGTAAAACCCTTATTGTAGAATGAGTATAAGGATACAAGAGGGGTGGGAGAGGGTGGAAGCAGAGGGGTGAGGATGTGCAAGGGGAGGGGGAATTACTCATGAGGTTTGTGCAATTTGATGGCAGCGGGGTGAAGGAAATTGAAAGAATTTGTTCTTAAAAACAATGTATTCAGGGAGCTCTGGTGGCATAGTGGCAAGATGCTGCACTGCAATCCCAGAGGTACGCGGTTCAAATCCACCAGATGCTCTGCTGGAGAAGGAGGGGGCAATCTCCTCCTGTACCAGTCAGATCTGATTTGATGATACACATAAAAATAATACAATAAAAAATTTTTAAAAACCCACCACAACAATGTATTCAAATTTTGTAAATAAACTAGTAGAAAATTTTTAAAAATTGTTAAAAAGTATATGTAACAATAAAAAATTTTAAAAGAAGCACTTTGGGGAGCTCTGGTGGCCTAGTGGCAAGGAGCTGCAACTACAATCCCAGAGGCACACGGTTCAAATCCACCAGATACTCTGCCAGGGAAGGAGGGGCAGTCTCCTCCTGTACCAGTCAGATCTGATTTGATGGTACACACACACAAAAATAATAAAATAAAATAAAAAATTTAAAAAAAAGAAGCACTTTATGGCCTAGTGAGAAATAAGCTGAGAGAAAACAGCAATGGGGCACCTAAAAAAGCAGGGTGTTTTGATGAGGTTTCCGTTCCATCAGACAAACCTTATTGGCACTTACTGTACCAGGTACTGTACTAGGAAAGCAGAGATTAAGAAAACCTAGGCCTTACCCTCGGGAAACAGCTCATGGCTTAGCTCAAGATGCCAATCACACACAGAGCTAACACTAGAATCAGTATGATGTGATATAGGCAGGAACCAAATGCCATGGAAAGCCAAAGAAAGGAAATCTCATTCTGACAAAGTGGAAAGATTGAGAAGCTGGGCCTAGAGAGCCTCTGGACCTCTGCTCTGATGATGGTTGGAGTGGTAGATGACCCAAGACGATCTGAGATTATATTGAGGCTCTTAACCCAGGATATGGACAAGGTACTGTCATTAAAAGGGAGTGGGGGACAGAAATGAAATAAAAAGAGGAAGGGTTTTAGAATGGTTCATCTGGAGCCTTCTACAGAAGGAGATTATGGAACACATATCAGTGTAGATGTCTAGGCTAGTTCTTAAGGAAGCCATTGATCTTGTGAGAGGTTGCATTGAGAATTGAAAGTCAACAGCCTGAAAATGAAGCACAGGAGTGAAGCAGGGAGAGAGAGATAATTCAAGGCCTAAGATGAAGAGTCTGGCCTCTCTAAATATTAAAGCAATACAAAACCAGAAATGGAGCCCATCTTTGTGAATCTGGTGCTGGCTGCTGGTCCACTTACTGGCGGGCAGCCTGAGGAATCCTCCCATTGATTGCCTTTCTCCCTTAAGACTCAGCCACTCACTAGATCATTTGCCTCTTGAAGAATTTCTGACACACTTCACCTGTAGCTGCTTCTCTTCTAGCCCAGCACAAGAGTCCTCTCTCTTCGAGGTTGACCCTCTACTTGGATTTTTTAAGCAGACCTGAGAGCATCCAGCCTGGCCCTACGCCTGGTTTTCTAATGGGCTTTTCCTGGATTGGAGCTCATGGTCTCTGGAGACAGGCTGGAGGCACAGGTGGGAGAAAGCCCAAAGGAATCAAGACATAGAAGTTAGTGTGGGCAGCAAGAGAAGACTGTTTGGTCTCTCCAGTTCTGGAAGAAACAAGGATCAGTGGTAACAGCCACAGCATGGTAGCAATTTGTTTTCCTAGATGTGAGCATTTTTACAGCAGAGCTGTGTAAGGGGACAGACACCCTCAGCTATCCAAGAGGATTGAGCTGGTCCTGTATGTCAGGGCCCACTAGAGGACGGCAGAGTGTTTACAGTGTGAGTGACTAACATTGGACATATGTAATATTTTCATGAGTCACATGAAGTACATATGACCATCCTTTCACAGACAAGGACCACAAAGGCTCAGAGAGGGAAAAGGGGTTTGCCTTGCATCTTAACCAATAGGAAGGGGCAGAATCAGGACATCCCTGACCCAGAAGCTTTGTGTGGGGATGAGCAGGATGATGTCTGAGAATTGAAAGTCCTGACTGAAAGAATTTTCTTGAGAGGGTGTATCAAGGGAGTAATAATAGTCTTGGAATATAAGTTTGCCCATTTATCTGTTTGTCTATCCAGAGTCTTAATGGGGAATTCCATGAAGCCTTCCCAGTAAGATCAGAGACTTCCTGGCCTGGCTCCTGGAGCTCCTGCAGGACACTGGTTCATTATGTTACCTCATGCCTGCGCTCCCCTGTCCCTTTGTTTTTAATGCCTTTATCTTCCATTTGTAGATGCAGTACCTAGACTCTATGAATGGTGAAGATCTGCTTCTGACAGGGGAGGTGAGCTGGCGCCCTCTAGTGGAGAAGAATCCTCAGAGCATCCTGAAGCCTCATTCTCCTACTTATAACGACGAGGGTCTTTGATGGCTTGTCCTTTCATACAACTGGCCAGCTGGCTTGAGGAACCTCCAGTAGTGAAATGTCTGCTTTGCCCACCAAGCAGGAAATAGCCAGGTCCCACTTCTGGGAACTTACCTTTGAGCAGCATCTTCTACCACCTGGCCCCATTTGTGTCAGTTTTCTTCTTAGTGTTTTCATGAGTCTCATTTGATGGGGTATAATGCTGAGTGAGCTCCTTGCTGTCTTGGGGTATCCCATCCCCTAGATCTTTTCAGCACACACTCCTAAAGTCCCTCCCAGAAACTATGTGATTTACAGTTTCCCCCAAGGTCTGGGAAGGGATAAAGGTAGGCTAGAAAGGGGATACCCTACCAATGGCTAGTTGTAGCCCAGGAGCAGTTTGTAATGCTGCTGAATGAGAATGGTGACCAACTTCTGCTCCTAGCTTTGAACCATGGCGGTGAGTTGACCATTAAAAGGAACAGAGATTCGTCTCTGCCATGGCTCTTCTTCCTTATAGAATTAGAAATGTACCTGAAATGGCTATGCTGTGAACTTAGAGGTACTTCCCACTCAGGTCGGAAGACAAGGAGAAGGGGAAGGCCTTTGCTCTTTCTCCCTCCATTTTATGGAGACGTATCACAAATCTGACCAAGGAGATCATCCCTAAGTCATCTGGAAAGAGACTTCAAATATAATATTCCCAGTGCTCACCCCTTGCCTTTGTTGAGCCATAATTAAGAACTTGGTTGTTAACCAGAAGTTTATTGGTTTGAACCTACCAGACACAGCATGAGAGAAAGATGTGTCAGACTGTTTCTATAAAGACTGTCAGCCTTGGAAACCCTATAGGGCAGTTCTACTCTGAACTGTCATTCATTGTTTCTTTCATGTCACCTTCAATGAACTGAGGTGTGTGCTCTTTTTTTTTTCCTTAGCCTTCTTTACATGAGATACTGGTGAGGAGATCCTTTTTTCTGGCTCACTTTTACTGTCCTCTGTCCCAGCCCCCTGCCCAGCTTTCTCTCCCCATCCCAGCTTGGGGGAGGTACATAAGGGCCAGTCTCTACCTCCCTCTCGGCTCAGGCCATCTCTTGGGGGATTTTCTTTAAATTTAAGAAGGGGGTGGGGAGTCATGTTGTTGAGCCCACCCCTAATCAAACTTTCTTCATTTAACTTGCTATAAAATGAGTCATATAAAGAAACTCTATATGGCTGAGGTATATCCCACTTCTGTGAAAACATTACAAATCAAACTGCCGTCTCTTGGTTTATTTAAGATGCTTTTGTTGCGAGCGGAGCTCTAGGGTGAAGCCTCCACTGTGTGTGTGAGATAATAACACCTTGTAACTCAGTACAGCTGGGCACTATTTACACAAACCAGAGCTGAGCCAGGCAGGAATTTGCTGATTAATTTATTTTTAATGGAGTGAAGTATACCATGCACCAAAATAAACTTTACTGTGTGTACCTAACTGCTCCTGGAATGGATGGAAAAATTAATGGAACAGATTTTGGCTCCCAACTCTACACATTAATTCATATATAAAAGTTATTTGAGCCTTAACCCATTTGCTGCCCAGGGCAGCTCCCCAGCCACAAATTCCAGCCCTCAGCACCGTTTCAGCTACTGGGCTTGCTTTAGAGTATTAGAATCTCAGTTGTGGAAGGAACTTTAAGGTCCACTTAAAGTCCACTCTCTGTCCAGTCCTTGCCCACCCCCCACCATCTCAGCTGGCTATTCATACAAGCCCTGTATAAATCCCTTGAGCGTCAGATAACTGCTGCCTCCGGAGCCGAGTCCTTTCTCCATAGGATGGCAGGCATCATCAGATGCTGCAACTCCTAATAAGGAGTTTGGAAGAGCCAGATAGTATCAGTCATGTCTGATGTGCTGAAGTCCTCACTTCCTGGTTGTCATCATTTTCACTGACTGCTTCAATCCTCCTTGCCTTCAAGATAAAATCCAGACTCCTTGGAGACTACTAAGCTTCTCTTAGTCTGCCCCCTGCTTCCATTTCCATCCAACCTGTTTTGATTCCCTAGCTGTTTTTTTCTCTAGGAAAATAGAACCATTTGTGGTTACCTGGAGAGGCCACTTGGTGGCCCACTTGTAACCTTCCCTCTCTCCTGACTAGAGAAATCCGTTGCTAGGTGTGGATCACCTGCTCATCCCAGACACAGGCACGCAGTTTGGGTGCTCGCACAGTGTAGTGTAAGCACTCACCTTAGGGCACTGAAGGGACCTTCTGTACCTCACTGCGAGTTCCTTTAGCGTGGAGAACATTGGGACTGGTCATCTTTGCTTTTGCAATACTCAAAAGATTGGAAAAAAATGAAAGAATGGATGATTAAATCATTATCAATTATAACAAAAAGCCCGTTCTGTATCATTCTTTCTGCTTCCGCCTAAGGAGCCCTATTGGTGCCAGGGTTAGAATGTTTAGCTACTAACCAAAAAGTTGGCAGTTCAAACCCACCAGCTGCTCAATCACAGGAGAGAGAAGTTACAGTCCACTTTCTACAGAAATTTACAGCCTTGGCAACCCTGGGAGCCTCTAATCTTTCCTGTGTGTCAGAATCAACTCGACAGCAGTGGATTGGGTTGGTTATGGTTTTGGCACAGGAGTCAAAACCAAAAGTTCTTTTCATGACTACATGTTTTTCTAATGTAAATTGTTATTATACAAAACAAGTGAAGGATGTGAATTCTCTCCCTCAGGGAGACTGCTCTATGGAAATTATTTTGTTATTTCTTTGTACTCTATAGCCTTCCAGAAAGAGCCAAAGCAAGTTATAGTAAGAGACATAGTAAAACTATTATAACATAGTTTCAAAGATGTGATTGTTGGTGGGGAAGAGAGAAAAAAATGATATTGAAAACTTTAATATGAAATTGTTTTGTAATTTATAAAACATTTTAATTTATTATCCCTGTAGTCCTGCTGCATGGATATCCTCCTCATTATCTTTTTTTATTGGGTTGGTTTGTTTGTTTGTTTTTTAACACTGTGAAGCCTGGAGCGGAAAAGAGGTGAAGAGTTTTCTGTCTCTAGGGCTCTTGCTCAATCCGCATTCCACACTGCCTCCCTGAGGTTGAACAGGAAATCTGCAGTACAGTGTTAAGGTCTTGCTCCGAGCTTCCTGGAAGCCAAATGTAGAAAAAGAAAGCTTTAAAGTTATGTCGTTCTCAGCACATAAAAGAAAGCATCCTAATGCATCAGAAGGACCGAACTTTTTTCCTTTTCAGAGAAGAACGTATTCTAAGTGATTTTAAATGAGAAACACCAGTGTAGCCAACTGTATCCCTAAGATTTTTGGTTTTTCCTAAGCATTTTAAAAATAATAATTGCTGTTTCTTATATCAAACGAAGATTAAAGCCAAAGTCATGTTCAGCCTGTGTGTTTTGAGCATCTGCGACAGCCACAACTTAGAATTTTTACTTGTTACCTCATTTAACCCTTAGTGGCAGTCCTGTGAGGTTGGTATTATTTAGCTCATATTCCTGGTGAAGGAAGTTGAAGGAGGCCCACATGTATGCTCTCTGACTTCAGTTGTTACGCTTCTAGTTCTAGAAAACCATTCCAGATGAGGTTCTGTACTCTGCAGTTGGTACTGTGCGTAAAGTACAAAGACAAGTGAAATCTCCGAGACCTTGGCGCTTAGACAGCCTTTAAACTTGAAACGAAATTCACTCGCAGAGATTACCTTTCATCCAAACTATAGACAGATTTTTTGTGTGTGGGGGGGGGAGGCGGACAGATTTTTAAAGTTGAACAGTAACACCCGTAGAACAACCAGAGACTGGAAGGGCAGGATTTGTCCAAAGTTCAGAAGGTAGGAAAGGGCAGGAAAGAAGGGTGAAGGAATGAACTGAGGGAGGAAGTGAGAAGAATGCTGTCACATGCAGATGTTACCTCATGAGTCAAAATGTGTCCAAATTGTTGAATGGGAAACATTGCTTTGTAAACATTCAATCAATAAAATGTTCTGGGAGAAAAAAATTCAAAGTGGTATTCTAGTCACATGGGCTTATGTGAGCAGATACACTAACTGGAAAAATCAGAACAAGGAAGTTAATGGGGAAAGCCTAAAAGGGAGTCAGGGTATGAAGGATGGGTACTTTCTAGGTGGGAAGCAGCAAGGAAGGGGCCAGCTGGAGGCACAGGGAAAGAAGCTCCAAATTCAGACTTGAGTAAACTAACTCAGTCACTTGCTAAAGGAAGAAAAAGCTGCTGAGATCAGATGGGGCCATAAGTGGGGTGGCATGGAGTCCCCTTTACCTGACGGGCGGCAGGGAGCCATGATGTGTCGTTATCAAGGATTGTGACGAGAATGAAGATGTGTGCAGTACATGGGACACTGACTCGGGCAGGAGGAGATTCTAGTCACCTGAGCTTGAAGTCCTGGAGCATGGGCATGGTAGTAGGACAAAGAAAATGTCATCAGGATTTAGGCCCTAACAGATATGGGGCCAAGAGAAAGGGAACAGCCACAAAGCTCATCTGGAAGCTGGGAAATAGCAATGACCCTGACACAAGAGGGCTTTGCTCATGACGGATTCATATCTTGTGAGAAAAACCAGGGGCTGTTGCACCATCATGTAATAGTGAGCTGCCGCCGACCACAACTAGCACAAGATGACCCTACAGCAAAGCTAAACAGTCCCATGCCTGAGCCATGGCTTTTGATAGACCCGGGCAGTATCTGTACGGGAATCCAGTTTGTTAGAAGACCAGTTTCGGATGATAGAGATGCCCCAGGGAAGGCAAAAGCGTGGCAAATATCTGCAACTAGGGATCTAAAGTCTCTGACCTTGTCTTAGGTATAGAAGGGATGCTGGAAATCAACAGACCAGAGGTTGGAAGGACCGATGGGCAACAAGGCATTTCTGAGGTGCAGGTTTAGAGGAGAGAGAGAGCTCAAGCCAGAGGTCTTGATGTTCAAGAAGAGGATGTTTGTGACCAGTATGTTCAGACTCTTGCTTGGAAACAGCCCTTGTGTACATGTTGTCCTATTGTTA